GCCTGTCTGCCTGCCCTTACCTAGGTTCCCACGGCTCAGTCTCAGCCTCAGCCCCAGCTCCTCACCTGCCTCCTGCATTTGGATGTGGGGTCTGTCTGCCTGCCCTAACTTGGGTTCCCCATTTGAAAGGTCACAGCCCTCAAAACCCTGTGGCAAGTTCCACTCTGCACACCTGGGGTCACAGCACAGCAAGATGGCCTGGACGGCAGGTGGTTTGGTCTTGGGTTTCTCTTAGGTCTGAGTTCACGTTCCCCGTGCTGCTTATTCCAGGGTCTGCTGCATCCTCGCTTGGGATCCCGCAGTGCTGGCACTTTGCTAACAGAGGCTGAAGTGTCCCCTTTGGTCCAAAAGGGCAGCAGAGCCAGATGGAAAACATTAACTCTGATTAGAGCAAGCAGCAGGTCAAGGGCACAGAGGGTCCCAGGAGTGGAGATCATGTGGGAAAGAGTAGGTGCTGATGAACGGGGTGAGGTGGGCCCAGAACTGGGAAGCAGCAGGCACTCAGCCTCACGAGCTGCACCCCCGGTACTCAGCTGTTTGTTTTGTGTCTTTATTTGCAGAGTATACCTTTTTTTTTTTTTTTTTTTAATTCCTTTCCTGATCTATAAAGGCAGAAGTCAGGGCTGGGAAAAGGCCAGTGATGACTTGTGGGACAGGGACCTTACGTCTGCCCAGGCAGTTTGGTTAAGCTTCAGGTGACAGTTAACTCAATTATTATGTGGCATTTAGAGACATCTGCATGCTGACGACCCACTGTTCTCGCTCTTCCACCAGAGGACAAGGTGTGGACCGTCGTTTCCCATGACCTGCACACGCAGACAACAGTGGTTGGCTACACGCCAGACAAGTCTTCAGTGACCCGGCTCGTGTACAGTGCCTCCCTGGACCAGATCAGTGCCATCACCAGCAGTGCTGAATACTGCGAGCAGTACGTCTCCTACTCCTGCAAGATGTCGCGGCTGCTGAACACACCAGGTAGGCCAAGAGTGCGGCGTTCCTTGTAATTACCATCCCAGCTGGAGCTTGGACTGGCCCAAACCATCCAACAGGTGCACCTGCGTGCCTTATTAGCTGAGTCTAGTCCCCAAGGTGCAAGTGATTGTAGCAAAACAGAGTAATTTGCCTGTTTCCTAGAAGATGAAGCTGGGATGTGGGGTTTCTGGAACACCACAGTTTGGTCTAGCTTCTGGAGTTGGCAGTGTGTGCCCACGTGTGCGACAGTGTCTGCTGCTGAGCTCTCGGTAGTTGCTTTGACAAAAGTGTTTCAGCCTCCTTGGGAACTTCTCTGAGCTCTTCACCCGTGTGTAATGTACAAACAAAAGCTTCCTAGAGCCTTCCCCTGCTCGAGAGCAATGACAGCACAATGCTGGCTGCTGGGACTAAGTTAACTGTGCGCCTGTGTCACAGGACGTCTGACCTCCATTTTCTTCATGTTGGCTGGTGTTAGCAACATGTGATGGTGCACACTTGTGTTTGTGTGTGCTTATGTACAAGTGTGTGAGTGTGGCTGTGTATATACGAGTGTGTGAGAGTGTGGGTATGTGTACAAGTGTATGTGCATATGGGTGTGTGTGTATAAATAAGTGTGTATATATGTAAATGTGTATGTGTGTAAGTGTTTACATGAGCATAAGTGGGCATACTACATGAATGTGTGTGGGTATGAGTGGGTGTGTATACATGAGTGAATTTATGTATATAAGTGGGTGTGGGTGTGTGAGTGAGGGTGTATTTGAGTATGTGTGGGTGTAAGTGTGCATGTAAGTGCATGTAAGTATAGGACAGTGTCCATGTATACATATGAGTGTGTGTGTAAGTGTGGGACAGGGTGCATGTATAGCTGTGAGTGTATGTGCATGTGAGTGTGTGTGGGCGGACAGTGTGTGTGTATAGATGTGAGTGTGTGCATGTGTGTGTAAGTATGGGACAGTCTGCCTGTATAGCTATGAGTGTACATGTGAGTGTGTATAGGTGTGGGACAGTGTGCATGTATAGCTATGTGTATGCATGTATGTGTGTAAGTGTGAGGTAGTGTGCATGTATAGCTGTGTGTTAGTGTGTATGTGAGTGTGTATGTGTGGGGCAGTGCACACATACAGATGTGAGTGTGTGGGTGTGAGTGTGCATGTGAGTGTGAGTATAAGTGTGGAACCGTGTGCATGTATAGCTATGAGTGTGTGTGTGTCAGTGTGCATGAGTGTGTGTGTAAGCGTGAGCCAGTGTGCATGTATAGCTATGAGGGGGTACAGTGTGTATGTATATATGTGAATGTATGCATGTATGTGTGTAAGTGTGGGACAGTATGCCTGTTTAGCTATGAGTGTCCATGTGAGTGTGTGTGTAAGTGTGGGGCACTGTGCATGTACAGATGTGAGTGTGTGGGTGTGAGTGTGCATGTGAGTGTATGTGTAAGTGTGGAAATATGTGCATGTATATCTATGAGTGTGTGTGAGAGTGTGCATATGAGTATGTGTGTGAGTGTGGGGCAGTGTGCATATATAGCTATGAGTGTGTGTGCATGTGAGTGTGTATGTGTGGGACAGTGTGTATCTATATATGTGAATGTGTGCATATGTGTGTGTAAGTGTGGGGTAGTGTGCATGTATAGCTGTGTGTTAGTGTGTATGTGAGTATGTAAGTGTGGCGCAGTGTGCACATACAGATGTGTGTGTGGGTGTGAGTGTGGGTGTGAGTGTGGAACAGTTTGCATGTATAGCTGTGAGTGTGTGTAACTGTGGGACAGTGTGTGTGTATAGTTGTGTGTGTAATGTGCATGTGAGTGTAAATGTGGGGCAGTGTGCATTTTAAGCTAGGAGTGTGTGTGGGAGGGGACAGTGTGCCTGTATAGCTATGAGTGCATGTAAAGATGTGAGTGTGTGGGTGTGAGTGTGCAT